GTGCTGCCCTGGGAGGAGTGAATGCAGGGACCCTGTTAGTTCCCACACAGCACACTGTTACTGCAGGGCAAGCCTGGCCCTCAGGGAGACCGTGGACTTTGGCCTTGCATGTTCCTCACTGGTGCCACCCGGGAGGCCCTCACCATGGGCCAGAATGATAGGGCTGTCCAGGCTTGGACTTGCGGCCCCAAACTCCTCTTCTTTATTCAATACCCAGCCTCAGCTAGCATGTGGTAGGAACAGAAAATGGACTAGTGTGCACTGTCTCCTGTGCACTGCTTCATGTTGTTTTAACAACACTTTTACAAAGACGAAACCATTCTTAGCTCGTGGGCCACACAGAGACAGGCATAGCAGGCTGGCCTTTGTACTGCCTTACGAGGGAAGGGAGGAGAAAGGACAACACGATAAAGGAGAAGTACATGGGCTTTTCTCCCACCAAAAGTGGGCTGAAGATACACAGAATGCAGATGTGGGCCGGGTTTGGCTTTAACCCCCACTTGGCGATGCACATAGCCGAACCTGCTCGTTTTGTCCAGAGAGGCCGGGAGGCACAGAGTAGGTGACACACTCGGTCACCCCTGTAGTTGCCCCTTTCACTGCCCATTCACCGTATGGCCCGTGGGTGGTGTGCTACACAGACAGGACGTGGACCATCACATCTGCGGCGGCGCTGCTGCTAGACTCCAGGCGGTGCGGAGCTCAGATGTGAAGGTCTACACCGGGTTTGGGCTGCCGGGTCTGCTCTGCACCCTCCAGGCACCACAGTCACCCCTGCACCCTGCTCGGGAAGGACTTACACAGGTGCTGGATCGGTCAGCTTCCCTCTCCCCAGTTTCCCCACCGCCGTCCTCAGTCCACGTGGTCCCTGCTACCCAGAGGGGCATATGACCAGGCCTGGCCAGTCAGCACGGTCCACCCTGGGCCACTGCAGTGGCTCAGGGAGGACAAGTGGCCCAAGTTCCAATCCTGGGCACCTCGAGGACTACTGAGGAAGCAAGGCCCTCTCTCCACGGGGTTGCCGAGAGCAGGTGCTGGTGGCCACTCTGCCACATGAGGGTGGGACAGCCTTCTCAGGCTGAGGTGAGGCTGGGGAGGAGCTCAGAGCCAGACCAGCTCAGACTTCGATTACACGGACCACCTTACTGCACACTTATGTCGATTTGAATTGGATTTCTACCTTGAAACTGAAACTCTAAATAATAGAATCAAATATCCAGTGAAGTACTATCATCTACTGGTTTCAGGTGCTATCATTTCTTGGTCAACAAACTCTGGACCCCAAACATGGAACTGTGACATAGTTTAGATAAATGTCTCCCAAAAGGCTAATGCACTCCAAAGGGGGGTTGGAAGGTGGTTAGATCATGAAGGCACTAACTTCACAGATGCATCAACTCATGACTGGTTTTGCAGCTGAATGTGCAGTTGACAGGTGGGGCCAGGATGGAGGATGCAGGTCCTCGGGCCGTGATGGTGAAGGGTCTGCCTGTCCTCAGCCCCTTGGTTCTCTCTGACTCATCCCAGCTCTCTGCCTCCGGGGCGCCTTCCCTCTACCATGCTGTTCCTGCCATGGAACCAGCTGGCCATGGATTAAATCCTCTGAAACCATGGGCCTGAAGGGTCCTTTTCTCCTTTGAGTTGCGTGTGTCAGGTATTTTGTCACAGCACCAGATGGTGACTAATACAAGGAGGTAAAAGGGTGGAGTTCAAGGTGGACAATAGGGGAAGGGCACGGTGTCATTACTTGCTCCTTTCTTCATTTCTCCTGCTTGGCTGTATACACTAGGTCCACTCCTCACACTGGGGGAAGGATCAAGAGCCCCTCATGCCACTGAACGAGCATCTGCGCCAGGTGAAGGACCAGATGTGTAGGTGGGGGGTTGGTTCACTCCCTCAGGGTACAGTGCGTTTCATACTGGTGGGAGGCACGGCGGCTGAGCTCAGTTTCCTGAAGGTGTTGCTGCTTCTGGTTCTGCCTGCTAAATGTCAGTGCCACCCAGTGCAGTTCGGCCCAGCTGTCCTTGGTCCCTGAGCTGTCTCTGGGACAGCTGTCACTTCCCAGCCCCGCACCTGGCTGCCTGTCTACCCCCGCAACGGGCCAGAGGGTGTGGCGCGGGCCACTCGGTTTCTCCCATGCTGGTTCTGCAGAGCAGAACCTCCCTCCTGGAGGCACTGCTGGGCTGTGTGCCAGGCCCACTGGGCATCTCCTCCAGGGCGACACCACACATGACTACTGAGCCTGACGCTAACGCGAGGCTGACAAACAACCCTGCTCAGGCTCGCCAGCTCCTAGCTTCCTCCTGCAAGTGTCTTAGGAGCAGGGACAGGCACACTTGGGCACGCTGCAGACCAAGGTACCAGGGCTCAGGGAAGTTAGTGACCTCCTCAAGGTCACCCACATTGGTGGCTGAGGCAGGGAACGCGCTCCAGAGTCACAGGCTCTGCCGCCTGGAGTCGTTGGTGGTCTGTGGCTGCACGAATGCCCGCTCTAGGTATGGGGCTGTGCCGTGGCACTGACAAGGTGGCTCACGTTGGACCCTCACCCCAAGCAGAGGCAGGGGAGTCCAAAGCAGCCACCCAGGAAGCTCCCTCCACGGCCTCAGCCCATGACTAACCTAAGAGGGTGACCTAGACAGGGCGAACACAGATCAGTTATGGCCTGAGATGCGCTACGAACCCTTAGTCCTCTCCTAAGCAAAGCACTGTTCCGGGAACTTGTACCAGAGGTTTGTCCTCTGGCTTGGGGACAGCCAGACCTCACTGGAGAAGGGACAGGGAGTGATGCCGAGGGGAGCTTGACTCCTTCCTAGCCAAGCACCGGTCCTGAGGATTGTCTACCAGGACCAGCAGCATCTCTTCATGCCTGTGCTCCTTCAGTTCTAAGGCCATTTCAGGAGGATGGAGATGGGTACTGCTGCCCACTGATGGGGAAGCGGACATTTGGAGGCATCAACCGCTCTCCAGGAGACGCATAAGCAGTGAGAGATGGCAGAGCTGCCTCTGAACCTGGGCAGCATCCGCACCTCGGGTGGGGTGCCAGAGGCCTGCTTGTTCGGAGCACCTTGGGCAGCACTCATCCCCAGCCTGCTCCCTGCAGCTGTGCCAGGGCTGCTGGTGCTGGCTCTGGACCCAGCACTGTGCCAGGCCTGTACCCAGATCATGGGCTGATGGCTGTTGCACACTCGCTGTGGGCTGGCATGGAGCTGGGCAGCTGGGTGTGAAGTGGCTCTTGTTTTTCAGTGAGGAGACAGTGCCATGCCTGAGACCCACAGTGGGCGGAAGGGCCAGCATCTGAACCTGCAGTCTGACTCAGGGGCTCGGCCCCGGACTCTATTTCCTGACCCATCGTTTACTGGGCACCTACTGTGTGCTGGGTCCCATTGGTGTGGGGACACAGCTCCTATCCTCAGAGTCTAAGCCCTGTGGAAGACCTGCTAAGGCCGTGTCACTCCAAGCCTCAGTTCTGGTGGGGGCAGCTACCCTCCAGTCCCCTTCCCCTCCTTCTACCCTGCCTCTACACAGTGCCTGGCTCTCAGCAGCACACACAAGCTGTGTACACCTTGACTCTGATCCAGGCTGTCAGCTCCGGACAGGAAAATACCACCTGGCCTCCCAGGGCACCTGGCTGGGCCTCGGGGAAACCCTGCTACAGCCAGATGGGACAGGGCTGGGGGCCCCCAACCACAGAGGGAAGCAGACCATCATGCAGAGACCGCCTCCTGCTGCCTCACGGTCCTGGCCTCTGCAAAGCTCCTTGGGGTTTGGAGCTCAAAACCAGAGGGCCAGGTTTGGTGACTTGCGCGTGTGGCCCTGGACCTGCCCTTACCACAGGATGGTGACCCCCTCAGTGAAGCCAAGGTTATGGCCCCACAGTGGCATCCACCGGGCACCCCTACTGTGCTCCTTGGGGCAGGGAGGTGGACTGTGTGGTTCTGCCATGTGCTTCCCAGGCCTCTCTCCTGAGCAGTGTGGTCTGGATCTTGGGCTGTCTCCCTGTCATGGTTTTTGTGTCCTGTAGGCAAGAGCGCTGCACAGCCTCCACACCTGACCTCACCACGCCTGCGAGCTGCCCTGTCACACCCTCAGGTGCATGGGCCACGCTGCTGACAGGTGTATAGCTGCAGCCAGCTCAGGTCCAGCCGGCTGCTGGCAGTGGGTGCTGGGGTGTCCTGCGGGTCCCCTCATCCTGGGGCTTCTGTAGCATGGCCCATCCCCAAAGCTGCCCTCATTTAGCCTCCTCTAAACAGTCTCTGCCTTCTGCCGGCACGCAGCCCTCAAGGGTATCCAGCTCCTGGAGACTGAGTGTGAGAACACTAGCTTTGTCAAAGCTGCTCCCTCCAACGTTTTCAGAGATTTCTTCAACCTCTGTCTGAATTCTGCCAGTGCCAGGGACCTCACCACTCACCACGGTACCTCCTGCTGGTTGGCACAGTTCTCTGCCACGGACTTATGCTGAGGCCGAGACAGCGATGCTCTCCTGTGGGCCAGCGGCACCCTCTGGGTGTGCAAAGGAGGTGCCCTGTCATGTCTGGAGCCCAGTGTCCTTGGGGCTTTGCCAACCATGCGAGCAAGCTAGCTTCCTCTGGGCTCTAAGTGTGCTTCCCCAGCCCTGGCCAAAGGGTCCCTGCAAAGAGTTCCAGCACAGCCCCTGGAGGTGAGTCAGCTGCTGTCCACTGAGCAGAAGACCAGGCGGGTCCTGTGCAGGCTGCAGTGCTTCTGGGGCAGGACTGGCAGGACCCCTGGAAGCGCACGGGCTCTACCTCCCTTCTTCAACTCCAGCCTGGCACTGGCACTGTGCCTGCCTCTCAAGCACAGGGTCCCGAGTTCAATCCCTGCTACCAAAAACAAAACAAAACAAAACAAAAAACAAACCAACCCAAAACAAACAAAAAACCAAACAACAACAACAAAAACCCCAAACCCAAAAAACAAAAACCAAAAAGCAAATCCAACCTGGGCTGCAGGAACCACAGCCGGATGCAGTGTTACTCACTCACCAGACTCCTGTCACTCACATCCTGGGAATCTCCTTGAAGCTTGACTCCAGGAGCAGCCAGGGCTTCAAGACCTGTGAAGAAGAGGAACTGGAGATTAGCAGCAGGCCTGAGCAACTGAGCTGCTGTGTGCCCGTCTCTTCCAGCAGGCTGGGTCACTGGGAGACTGGGTGGAGGTTAGGGATGAAGAGGAGGAATTGGGGTAAGGACACAGCTGCTTGTGAAACAAACTCCACATCTCCGGGCTCTGTGTTGATTCTGAGACAGGGAGAGGGTAAAGAAAAGCCCCTAAACCTGGCTGAGTCATCAGTGACAGCAGGCAAGCCTTTCAGGAGAGAGACACAGGGGCAGAGTCGAGTCCCTTTGTCCCTTCGAGTCATCTGTGCCTGTTCCCCTGGCTGCTGCGGGCCGTGCACGCTTCCATGTCTGTGAGGGTGCAGGGGGAGCTCTGTGCTCGGCCTCAAGTGGGAAAGACACTGCGTTCTTAACAAAGGCCTAGAGGCATATTTATATCCCCAGCGATTCCTGCCAAGCGCACCCTGCATGCTCTGAACGCTTCTCGGGAAAGGGGAAGCTGGAGGGCCAGGCTGTGCCCCACTGAGGCTGTCTGCAGCATGGCAAGTGCAGCCCAGTGCTGAGGCTCTGTAGCCGGCTGGGCAGAGGCCCCGTGGCAGGAACCACTGCACCCCGCTGTGGACCACGCCGGCCTCGCTCCTGGCTTCCCACACCTGGCACCTGCAGAGCAAAACTCGTTTCTCCTTGTTTCCCTAAGAATTCTCAGGTGAGCTGAGGTTTCTATGTCCATTTGTCCCTGCTCTTGAAGAAGCGCCTTTGCTGGGGTGAAGAGCATCTCTGTGGTGGCAGCTTGCGCTCTCTGAGGACTTGCCAGGCGCTGTGCACTTGAGCTAGATTCTTGCTAGTCAAGGCGGAATCACCCCAGAGCCTCAGGGAGCCAGGACCTGCATTCTAAGAAGCACCCCTGGCACACTGAAGTCTGTGATGCTCTTCCTCAGGAGGGAGGGAAGGGCTGCCCCTTTTCTAGGGGAGGATGCAGGCCCATTCAATGCCATTCAGCTGGTCAGCACCCTGGAAACGAGACTGGAGCCTCACTCCTTTCCACTGCACTCGGCACCAGGCCAGGACTGTGGGGCATGGTCAAAGGAGGGCAGTGAGCTCTGGGCCCAGCAGGCAGGGCACAGGCAGGGAGGCACTGTGGCGGGGGCAGCCCCTCCTGCCAAGGGCTGGGGATTTCCCAGCCTCCTTCCTGCAGGGCGACTCGGGCTACTGCAGGGACCACAGTGATCGATTAGATTTTATTCCAGCGAGTTTACCTCTCTTGCCCATTGGCCCAGGACTAACTGTCCCGCAGGAGACAGCTGACCAGAGGGCTCCAGGCACCAACCAGGCCCAAAGTTCAACCCCCATCCTTACCAGGGTCACATCACTAGTCCATCCCAAGGAGACCGAGGCACAGGGTGGCTGAGTGACTCTCCAGGGGCCACACAGCTGTAGCCTGCAGTGGCTGTCTTTGAGTCCAAGCCCAAAGGAATGAACATCTTTTTATTTTTATTTTATACAAGACCTCACTAAGTTTTTAATTCAAGCTGAATTTGAATTTATGACCCTCCTGGCTCAGCCTGCCAGAGCGCTGGGATCACAAGTGTGCACCACCATACCTGGCTGCTTCTTTTAAAATTCAAATGTGAGCATGCTGTTTAACTTTGCTGCTGTCTTTCCAGGGACTGGACTTTGTAACAGACTTGCACGAGCTGCGAGTGGTCCACCATAACCCTCCTGTACCCTGCAGCTCTGGATTTTGCAATTTTTCAGGATGCAAGGCTATCCACAAATGCCTATATCATTTTATAGTAGAATTTCCTGCATAGTGTAGGTACCAGCTCTGTGCCCATACTGCCCATGCTGGGCTGCGGGGTGCCCTGCCTCGCTTCAGGCCAGATGGGCGTCCAGCTCTGCATGGGACGGCAGCTCTCCCTGGGAGACCAGGAGAGGACGCTCTGGCCAGTACCCTCAGGTACTGCCTGGCTCCTGCCTTCCTGGCTCAGTACTCTGCTCACCTGAAAACACGGCACAGAGGAGCGAAGCCCCAGCAGGGGAAGACTTCCCCTTACTCTCTGCACAGGCTCCCCGTCTCCCTGTGGTCCAGCCCTCGCTGCCCACTGCCACACAATGGGAGAAGCCACCCGAGGGTGTGGAGAAGAGACATTGCCCAAGTCGCTCCCTGTAGAGCACAGCAAGCATTTAGCCCCTGAGTGAGGACCCGCTCTAGCGAAGGGTCCTTCCATTTTGCCGTGACAGCATCCACTAACTGGAGGCCAGGAGGGAGCCAGGGCTGGCTGGAAACAAGACAGGAAGGTCAAAGCCAAAGAAGACAGAAAACTACAAGCTCTTTCTGTGGAGCCTACACTTGGGCCTCATTCTGCAGGCCAGAAATGCAGCCTTTCTTGCTTATCTGTGTTCCAGACAACTGCCACTTCGTGGATCCTGGACACAGCTCCCGCCAGCCCTCGGCTGGGGCTCTGTCTCCTCTTTCCCATGGTGCCCTGATGAGCACGTGTTCATGGGCCCATGTTTTAGACGGAGAACCTGGGCAAAGCACCACTGACTGAGCCGCCTGGGGTTACAAGGGTGCAGCACTGGGGTTTGTCTCTTCAGCTCTGAACCCAGGCCTGCAGTTTCTGGCAAATGGGGCATCCCTCTCTCAGCTTGGGCCCCGGGAGATAGAAGTTCTGAGTTCAAGACCACATCGCGGTGCAGAGTAGCTTGGCATCATGAACACCCGACTGCAAATTCCACTCTCACACTGGTGTTCATTTACTTGAACGTATTTTCCCTGCTGAGTTGTCTGGTACCCGAGCCAGCAGGGAGGTGTCTGTGGTGCTCTGTGTCAGCTCTTTCAGCAACCCCAGGCACTGCCTGCGGGCTGGGCTGTGGGAGGTAAGGTGAGCCTGGCCTTGCTGTGCTGGGAACAAAGCCTTCAGTGACTTCCTGTGCTCAGCACACCCAGTGCAGGCGGCAGGACTGTGGGGAACGGGTGAGAGCAGGGACTGGGTGAGGCCCAGGAAAGGGCAGCAAACCAGGGCCCAGCAGGGTGGGAGGCCTGCAGTGGGCCTGGAAGCCAGCAGGGCGGCTGGGGCCAGGAGTCTGGAGAAAGGGTGGCGGATTTGCTGAGGATTTGAAGGCCTTTTGAGAAGCTGGATCTTTGCCTCCAATGTGAAGCCACCAGAGCCTGCATCTGCAGTCCTGGCGCGTGGGGTTCCTCACAAGTGCTGAAAAGAGAGTTGCATCCTGCTGTCTCCAGGTTGGCTTCAGATCTGAGAAGTGCCACCGGAACCTGCGGTCTTGACCAAGGGCAGACCAACGCCACCTGATTTTGCCCGGAGAAATTATCCAGTCACCTTTGTCTGGCCTCGGGGGATCCTGGCTCCAGAGTAGCCAGGCGGCTGCAAGGGGCACGAACAACGCTCTCGAAATACGGCTCCCCTGGCTCCCGGGACAGCCCTGCAGAGAGGCCTGGGTGAGCAGGACCCAGCTAGAAAATAACCCAGCAGAGGAGCCACCTGGTCTCCACTGAGAGGAGGCAAGGAGTGTGGCAGAGGTGGTGAAGAGACCTGAAAGGGAGGTAGTGCCTGGTCAGCACACACAGGGGCCACCCCAGGAGGAACCAGGTGCCTGCCTCCCATGGGGCAGGGAGCCCACTCTTGGGGCACAAGGAGCTGGCATTCAACACATGAGACCGTGTCCACAGACAAAATGTCTTCTCTCCGTGAGCCTTACTTTGTAGCCCATACAATGGATATAATGTGGATTAGATAATACCACGGAGATAGTGTGGGGTGATCTCAAAGCTGTGTGGTCCCTTCTTTTATATGTCTTATTTCCTGATTTAACATTTCACAAAAATCTGGGGATCCAGGTGGTGCGATTGAAGCCCACATAAGCTGGTTTCCCTACGTACAGCACAGTGGCTCCCCTTCTCCCCAACTGTATCTTGTTTCCAACCCTTTATTAAATGTCTTAACTATCACTTGCCTGTAGAGTCAAAATAAAATTGCCAGAAGTTTTCACTTTACACTCATAAATGATTCTCACTAAATCCTTCTTTAAAAAAATGTGTGTGAGAGCAGAAATGTACTGACTCATAGCTGGAAACTCTCTCCTCAAGGCATTCCAAACTTGCCAGGTCACAAGCGGAGCGTTCTGGGCTCCATATCCCTCCCCTCTCCTTTCTCCAAGCCAGCAGGGCAGGCATCAGGCAGACGGACTGAATGCAGGCCTGGGAGGGTCTGGCACGCAGCTGACGCCGAACTTGAACTGTAAGGCAGTGCCGTATTCTCAAAAACGGAAGTAAGAATCTGCACATGGGGTCACTTCACAAGGGGACATGGAAGCATCACTGTGCTAATAGCCTGCTCGAGTCACACAGCGGGTGGGTGGAGCTAAGCACGACCAACCTGGCTCTGGCCTGGATGCTCCCACAGGCCGAGTGCTCACCCGCAGGAGAGAGCTCCACTAACTGCACCAACAGAGGCTGGCGGTGGGTGGGATGGGGGTGATCTGGTGACGGTTTTTAAGTTATGTGATGCCATGATGGATGCAGAAAGTAAAAGAGGCCATAAAGCGGCGTGGGTGGGAGGGCTGAGGTGGGGCGGCTGGGAGGCTGCTGGGAAGCGGTGCATTTAAACTGCACAGAGGCTGGCAAGGTTCAGATAGGACAACCGCAGGAGGTCTTGCTGGCTTAATGCCAACACCCTGGGAGTCCCCATCTCAGCTCTGAGCCAGGCCCACCGTGCCCAGGTGGGAATGCCATCCCTGTGGCTGCAGCTTTACGTCTGGGAGAAGCACAGGTAGAGGAGAAGAGCAGGGAGGATGTCAGAGCACAGGTGCAGATTGGCCAGGGTATGGGCACCAGCCCCAGCTGCACCTGGATGCCTCTGAGCAGGTCCTTGCCCTGGGCTCAGTCTCTTCCCTCTACGCAGGGCCATGAAGGAAGGCTTGGGCGGTCCAGCTGGGTGGGACCTTGGAGAGCTCCCAATGGACTGCCTCACTTTGAGGC